GTCATTGCTATCTACTGGCCTTCTCCAAGCACAGTCTCATGTTGTGACAACTCTGCCATTGGTCTAGGACTGGAACATAAAACAAAGGCAGTTTCATAACATTCATTCACATTTGGAATGCAGTCTTCCCAACCATGCTTGGCTTTAAAGACTTTGACTGCACAGCACTTGTTCATTTTTGTCTGACTTCTTTCTGTTCCATGTGAAGTCTGCGTCAAAAAGCTTGAGCCAGGCGGAAGGCCCAAACATGGTAAGCACAAGGACTGTCGTCACATGGGCGCATGACCAGCCAGATCGAGTTGAAAACGCATAGCGATTTGGTTCTGATCTGGAAATTCGTGCAAGGATTGGGAAAAAATACATATGTTCAGTTGCTGCTTCAAGCTTGAGACACAAAGTTGGGGCATTTCGACTTTTGTAAGTGATGACGAAGAAAGAGTTCCCTGTTCCTCAACAAACTACAGTCACAACAGATCTTGCCGTGTCGCTGAGGGCAGACCCCTGCGCACGGCACGTCAGTCAGAGAATCGAGGTCAAAGCGTGGACCCAGCTTCAAGCCACCTGGCCGCGTGAGTCTGGAAAGCAGAGTGTGCCGCCACAAATACCATCTGGTGCCATATATATATATGTATATGTGTATATGTGTATATGTGTATATGTATAAATGTATGTGTATATATATATATATGTGTGTATATATATATATATGTATATATATATATATGTATATGTATATATGTATATGTATATATATATATGTATATGTATGTGTATCTACATATATATATATATGTATATATGTATGTTAGTATGTATATATATATGTATGTGTATATATATAATTATATATATATATATGTATATATACATGTATATATATATGTACATGTACATATACATATGTATATATATATATATTGTGTATATATATATATATGTATGTATATATGTATATATGTATATATATATGTATATAGATATGTATATATATATGTATATATATGTATGTATATGTATATATATATATATAAATGTATATATGTTTAGGTATATATGTATATATATATATGTACATATGTGTGTATGTATATATGTATATATATATATGTGTGTGTATATGTATATATGTGTGTATGTATATATGTGTGTATGTATATGTATATATATATATGTGTGTGTACTCTCACCTGAAAGGAGTCATGTCATAAACATTTGGGCTTTGTGCTATTTAGTCATAAAACGTCGCCTCTTGCATTCTGTTCCCTTTCTTGACACTACCGTGCATTGGGCCGGGCCTGTGTGCCCCTTCTTGAAGCCCACATAGGTCGTATCCTGTGAAGGTCGTGAGGTCATCTGTGCATCAAGCCATCTCTGACAATTGTTAATGGTGACTAATGACTAGTGGGGTTATAAAGAGTTGCAACCAACAAATATGGATTGAATCGTGGCTCAACAATCTAATGATTGTTGGTTGCTAGCCATTGATACTTGCGATTGCTTTTAAACATCTTCAGCCTCATCGCTGAAAACAGCAGAGAAGAGGCTGACCGGCTGACCCTGCCTTGCGGTCGACAAAGTCCTGAACTCCCAAAGCGATAACCATTCTCTGGCCCTGAAGTGAGATGCCCATGACCTTGGTTGATATTAATAATGAACAAGGAATGCCGGGATGGAACCAGGGATGGAAGGGGATGCATTCATGGTCTGTCTTCTTCTTCTTCTTCCTCTTCTTCTTCTCACCATCCACCCTTCACAAAACTGCCATTCAGCTCTCGGAAAATCTCAGGATTTCAGTGCACTTTGGGATCAACTCAATTGACATCCAGCCATTCAAACATATTCAAACTACCCTCTACCAATAGCAAATTAACCACACTATCATGAAAAATCCACTCTGATTAGATCTTTTCTAGGGAACACAACCGTTACTGTAATCTACTGCAGTGCTATTTATGCTTTACTTATGTTACTTTGATGTGCTGAGGCACCCAACATTGGATAGATGTTCCAAACTCTGGCTGAAGTGACTGAGATTCGTAGAGGAGTCGCTCGCCTGCCATGTTTGGATCCTTGAGAATGCTGCTGCACCTTGTTGCTGTAGATATCAATCGATTGGTTTAAGGGCAAATCTGCAGTAAACTATGGATTTTCTCATGAATTATGGGGGTTCCAGCAAGACCCCTTAAACGAATCCATTGAAGATATCTATGATTGTCTATGTCGCATACCATTGCATTTAATCATTCATGATAAAGATTCTCGGACTAAGATCATCGGAACCGGAGCTTTTATTTTCGCTGTAGTAACATCTGTGAGCAAGTGATGCACCATGGTCAGCTTTTCCACCTGGACAAGATCTGATCCTTCTTTGCTTCAAAGTATATACAGTACGTCGCTCAAAGCTCTACACCTCTTTGAAATATGCTAACATGTATAAAAACTTCAAGTTGGCTTATTGCATTACATCAAATGATTTTAAATGTCCAACTTATCAATTTCTTACCATTGTCTCATCATTTCACGGTCCTGATGCTGCAGACCAGTAATGGACTCCTCCAGACCTGCCGTGACGTCAGCTTTTTTTGTGCGAGGCCCAAGGGCGGCCCAAAGCGCTATGAGGGACGTCCCTTCCGGGGTCTGTGCTCCAGGCCCATCTTGTCTCTCTTTCTCTTCGAATCCAGACTTTCAATGTCAAGCCGTACCTGGAGATCATCGCCGCCGGAGATGGTCAGAAAATATGGGCGGTCGCCTGGTAGCCTTGTGAACCCCAAAATCGTCTGTAAATGGATGTTCATTCTCCGAAATAGGCTATTATATGCTATTATTGGAGTTTTAACCCACCCCCATATGGGAATGGTTTACGCATCTACATTGGTTCATGCACATCCACGAGCCTATGTTCCAAATCTATTCAAAGAGACTGGTGGTTTCAACCCGTCCAAAGTACGAAAAACATAATGCTTGAAACATCTTGAAACCACCAACCAGTCTGTCCGCCTTACCCCAAGTGGCCCTCCCCATCCCTACCCCTGCCTCCCGCAGAGAGGCTTCCACATGACGTCCGCTGGAGTGCAACGACTCCTGCAGACCCTGAATCGATGCCTTGGCCAAGGTTTGTGCTGCGAAGAGTGATCACAAAACGGGAAGTTTGATAACAAAGTGGGGAGTTAAACTCCCAAAAAAAGGGGAGTTGAACCCCCAAAAAAATTGGTTGGATGAAGGAAAGTCAACAAGAAAAACGTGTTCTTTTCCCACGGAAAATAGAAGGTTCCTGCAGATGTTCCCTTCATCCAGTAGAGGAACACGGATCTGATGGAAGACCCGAGTTTCACAACACCCACCGTCCCTACCTCGGTCTCTTTGAGGAAAATTTGTACATCCTGCGCCGTAGAATCCAGGCCCAAGCTGAGATTCCACCATTGATTTGGTTATCCAGGGCCCATACGCCGCCCATACCCACTGCACTCATAGTGGCTGGACCCCCAAAGATAGGGGCAACATGACCATCATCCACTGATATCCACTGATCACCATATCTTCCCTATTAAAATAGCCACACCAGTAACACCCCAAAACCGCCTGGTGTAGACCAGCCAATTCTTTCACCTCGTTGCTGAAGGATGAGCGCACCTCATGCCTTGGTGAATTTTCACAAAATGGAGTGAATGATATGGAATATATGGAACAATTGACATCATAATAGATGGATTTGTATGTGGAATAAAAGAGGGGAAATAATGAATGGAATAACACATGGAATAGTAGATGGAATATTATACATGTTTAACAGATCGAAGAATGTTGAATTTAGATTGAAGAATATATGGAATGTGGAATAATAGATGGAATCATATAGCACAACAAATGGAATAGTAATAGATGGGGAAATAGATGGAATAATACGCGAGATATCCCAATATTGGAATACCAGCTGATTATACTTGATTACATTGGAAATTCGACCATCCCAAGCACGAGGGTCCTGAGAATCGCGCATCTCAAGAGAAAAGTAGTCTTCCAATTATATATTGGGTAAGGTCTACAGTATGAGCTTCACTACGTTGTATCATTACACCGGACTGTATCAGTACGCTGTTGTTGCAGACCAAATGAACGATGACAATCTGATGACAATGATGAGGGGTTCATGGTATTGCATAATCATGTTTGCAACACTGCATTGGAGAAAACTCAGGCTCCAGCAACAGATTGGCGGAGTAAGCTGACATGAGATTTGCAGTCCTCTTGATTTCTGCTTTCAAATCCTGCCAGGAGGTATCAAAATGCATCAAGCACCATTTACAAAGTAAATTTACACGAAAATACTTCGAAACAGGCTGCAGCTGTGAGGAATTGAGATTCAGAAGCTGCTCCAACATTCAGCATGACACCTTGAAACCTACGGAAGCTGGGGAAATGGAAACCTAATGGCGGTAGCTGGTTTTAAGAGACTTTGGGAAAATCAAAACCTTGTCCATTGACACTTGAGATGAATTGAGAGAGGGAAAATCAAATCAAGGTAGAGCGAGAGAGAAAAAAAACAGAAACAGAAGCTGCCTGCAATTAGCATCACTTAGGTCAATTAGCACCTAAGGTACACTAAAGTGCCATTCACTGACGGCTCTTGGTTCATTTTAAGGCTACCGTTATCCAAAATCGCCTCACCCAGCTGATCGTCTGTGGGCCTGGTTCACCTGATTCACCCGTTGTGAAATTTCACCCGTGCTGTCGGTCAGATCAATGAGCTGCACACCATGACCTTCCTGAATTTCAGTGACCTCGGCTGCTGGGCGCAGCGAAAGGTCATGGTCGGAACTTCACCATCTTCACCGGTGAAGAACTAGTAGTTAACAACCAGAAAAAGAACCATGACCATTACCTGGAAGTTAAGAACCGGAAGTCATCTGGGGCAGATTTTATGGGGGGATTTAACTCATCACAAAACGGAGATTGAACCTGATTCAACAAATATTCGGGCTGTTCTTTTGCGGACTTATTCAAGGCTAGGATTGGTTCATAGTAAGGCTCACTATCTCCAGTGACACCTGCCACGAGGCGCTATTAGCTGCGAATTTGTCTGTTGAGATTCCCAGGGATTGCTAAAACTATGAAACATGCTTGAAAACAAATCCTTGAAGCACCTATATGCTAAATAGGATCATATCATAATTAGGGAAAAGCCACATGATATGGGTTTGTCTGAAAATAGGGTAATTGCTCCCAAAATTGATGCTTTACTATCATTTTCCTCATGAAAATTGCAATGTTTGGGGGGTACATCCCATTTTCAGACAAGCCCACCATACAACCAACAGGATCACCCAAGATTTTCTGCGGCGCCAGAGCTTCCCGACTCGCTTCACATGCGCATCTAACAATCGCAACTCTCGTAGCTCCGCCAAGACCTGTCCCAAAAACATGTGGTTCTTCCCAAAATTTGATGTCGCTAAGGCGTTCTTTATAGGTTCTTATGCCAGTTGCGGGGTAAAGGTTCTTTAGCATCCTCGAAGTGCGAGATGAGAGAGGAAGAGGAAACTTCACTACGGAGCAAATTGAAAATTCATAGCCAGAAGGACTTAAGCTATAGGCGCCACCACACAGGCGGGCCGATTTTTTGACCCATACCGCCCATACCATGCTACTGTAATCTACACCCAGCCTCTTTGATGGTCTTTTCCAGCTGCCTTGTCTGCATATCGAAACCTCGATTGCATTTCTTTGGTCCAAGTTAGGTTTGGGGTCAGATGTGTTCAGTCCATCTGGGAAGTCCAAGTTAGGTTTGGGGTCAGATGTGTTTAGTCCATCTGGGAATGAAAATTCCAAACTAAGGTTTTTGATGGAACATGATGGAGGAAAAATTACAAAGTCTCGTAGCCTGTTGTTTTAAGTCCTTGTTCAAATCAGCGTTGAACTCGTCTAATTAGCACCATGTTGTTGATGGTCCCTCACACCCAACGCAGTTCAACCTTTTCAATTGCCCAGAAGGACGAATATCCCATCAGTTGGGAGAACAGAAGCCCTTTGAACACTAAATTTATCTGAAACAGTCATTTTACCAACAGTTTCCAGATTGCTTTGACCGCGGGCCATCAATCATGTTGGCAAATCATCTTTGCAGAAACTAATTACTGGTACAGTACAGTAAGTGGATGTAATTGGTACATTGCACAATGTGCATGGCTGGCTCTGCAGCCTAATCTTCTTCGACTCAAGAAGATTAAGTGGCCCAAGGAGTTCGGCCAAATCACGACGCAAACTGGGAGGCGAGAAGTCTGTAACTTCCTTCAGCTGCCACGGGGATCTCATGCGCAAAGAGAAATGCTGCTCGTTCCCATTTTGCAAATGCGTATCTTATAAAAGGTGTTTGTTGACCTGACAAGAAAATCATATGCCACTCAAGCAAGCCTTGGGCCACTTTTGCACAGCCACCATTGGGCATTAAATGATATGACTAGGCCATTTCTGCAGCTGCCCTGTCCTCTGGGCCCCAAATCTCATCGCTCAGAGCCTTGTGCATCTCCTGGTTTCAATGAAACAACCCCTTGGACCATTTGGTTCCTTTCGTCACTGTTCGGTGTGTGCGTGCGTGTGTATCTCTATGATGCATATGTATATATATATATAAATATACGCGTATAAATATATATATGTGTGTATATCAAACTATATTAAATTGTATTATTTTATATTAAATTAGTATTAAAAAAAAAAAATATTATTGATATTAATATTAATATTAATATTAATTTATATTTTATTTTGTTGTGTTATATTATATCAAATCATATCATATTGAAATATTTTACATCATATCATTTTAAGCCAAATTTTATGATATTATATTATATTGTATTAGATTATATTTAATCATATTTCATCATACATTGAAATTTTTTATTATATTCTGTTATATTATATCTTATTACAATACATATACATATAGATTTATATATATTATATTTGTTTATACATTACACCCATATTATATATATATTGTACATATATATATATATAATTATATATATCAGTAGTACCGCACAAGGCGGTGGCGGAAGTTTCAAATAATATAGGAAACCTATAGGAGAGCTTGGTTGTTGTGAATCACGAATGGCAGAGCGAATCCACTGATGGACCGAAAGGTGGTTGGAGTTGTGTTTTTTGAAGTGGCTGCAACGGTTGCAGTGGCCACCTCTTCCTCAACTGCTTGATGTAGTGTGGTGTGGTGTAGCGCAGTTGTGGTTGTAGTTGTAGTGTAGAGTAGTGGATTTGTAGCTGTAGTGTAATGTAGTTAGTATGTGTGTTGTTGTAGTTGCAGTTGCAGTTGTAGTTGTGGTGCGGTGTAATTAGTGTAGCGCAATGTAGTGTAGTGTAGTGTCACTGCTTGATGTAGTGTGGTGTGGTGTAGCGCAGTTGTGGTTGTAGTTGTAGTGTAGAGTAGTGGATTTGTAGCTGTAGTGTAGTGTAGTTAGTATGTGTTCTGTTGTAGTTGCAGTTGCAGTTGTAGTTGTGGTGTGGTGTAATTAGTGTAGCGCAATGTAGTGTAGTGTAGTGTAGTGTACTGTAGTGTTTTGTACTGTAGTGTAGTATAGTGTGGTGTAGCCTAGTGTAGTGTAGTGTAAAGTAGTGTAGTTGTAGTTGTAGCTGCCGTTGTAGTTGTAGTGTGGTGTAGTGTCGTGTAATTAGTGTAGTGTAGTTTGGGGGTAGTTGTAGTTGTAGCTGTAGTGTTGTGTAATGTGTTGTAGTCGTAGTGTAGTTATAGTGTTGTGTAATGTGTCTTAGTTGTAGCTGTAGCTGTAGTTGTAGCGTACTGTAGTGTAGTGTAATTAGTGTAGTGTAGTGTAATGTAGTGTAATGTAGTGTACGTAGTTGTAGTTGGAGGTGTAGCTGTATTTGTAGTAGTAGTTGTAGTTGTAATGTAACTACAGTAGATGGACAAAATATTCAAACCCTGCAGCACGCACTATGTTTAACCCCCGCGCCCCCAAATCTCAATGCTTCAGCGCGCGTGTTAAAGTGATGTTAGGGGTTTGATTTTTTTCGTCCATTGGGGCTAACGCACTTCAGGTTACATTAACAGTGAACTTTGGGGGCGAGGGGGTTGTTCCGGATAGAAGGGGTTTGAATATTTCGTACATCTACGATAGTGTGGTGTACTGTAATTAGCGTAGTGTAGTGTAATTACTGTAGTGTAATGTAATCAGTGTAGTGTAACATAGCGTAATATTGTGCACATGTAGTTGTATTTGTAGTTGTAGATGTAGTGTTGTTTCATGTAGTGTTGTTTCATGTAGTGTTGTTTCATGTAGTTTCAGTTGTAGTTGTAGTTGTCTATCTATCTAGCTGTCTATCTGTAAGCTTGAAAACGCAGCAATTTTGCGAGACTTCCTCAGTTTTTGAGCTTGACAACATCAAAAACGAGACAATTTTGTGAGACTTCCTCAATTTTTGAACTTGACAACATCAAAAAAGTTGACAACATCAAAAATGAAAGAATTCTGCGAGACTTCCTTCAAAAATGGAAAGTAGAGTGCAGAGCTGACGCCCTCGTACCAATGCGTTTTGCGATTTTTCCAGTCCACCTGTCTAAAGTACTGCGCCTGCCACGAAAAAGTGATGCCAGGTCATACGAAGTGCTGCACCTGTCACGCAAAATATCATCTTAGCAAACCTGAAGATCTGATGCTCCAAACTCCAAAATGCAACCCCTCTCAGGAAATCAGCGCCCGGACCTCCTAACAGCTCTGATGAATATGTCTATTGTACCGCACCTGCAACAGAAAATGCATCTTTGCAGATCATCTTCAAATGTCCCACACCTGCCATCGTTTTTGGACATGCTACAAAACCCACACGTTTTGCTCACTTTTAACACGGTGCACAATACCTTGCTCCCGCCACGCCCAACGACACTTCAAAGTCCAAAAGTAGCGCGGACATGTAGTATTTTTCACATTTTGACTTCAAAATGTGCTTCGCGCCACAACTGTGTGCACTTTTTCGACATCGCAACTTCCAAAAGTGGTCCCAAGCTGGTGTGCTTTGTACATTTTGACTTGGAAATGTGCTTCGCGCCACAACGGCGTGCACTTTTTCGACATGCAACTTCCAAAAGTGGTCCGAAGCGTGTGCTTTGTACATTTTGACTTCGAAATGTGCTTCGCGCCACAACGGCGTGCACTTTTCCGACATCGCAACTTCCAACTTTTTCACTTGCAATCTGCTTCGCGCCACAACTGCGTGCAATTTTTCATCTCTCATCTGGCCAGATGGCTCCGCACCCGCCGCTTTATTTAGCGAGTCTACTTTTCGACCCTCCGGAGCCACAAATCATTGGAAAAACACAGTGTTTCGCGACTTTCCTACCTTTTCGATCCTTTTCGCGCACCTGCATCTTCTTTCTTCTGACTCTTTCTCTTCTCTGATCTTCTCTCTTCTACTCTTCTCTTTTCTCTGACTCTTCCCATCTCTGCTTTTCATCTGTCCATAGTGTCGGAAGTTTGACTTCTAAACTTCCTTCGATTATACATATATGTATATATATATTGTACATGTCTATATATATATATATTACATACTGTACATATGATGTATATTATATATATACATATTAAATATTTATATATATATACATATATTAAATAGATATATATATATACACATATTATATATATACATACATTAAATATATATATATATACATATTATTTATATTTATACATATACATGCACTTGCTTGATACATATGTTTCACTTCTACATATTCTAAATGCCCTGCCCCAAAGAATCTCCACACGCCCAGCTCCTTGACTTGGTCGATGCTGAGCCTGAGTTCGGAAAATGTTGGGAAAAACCCTCAGAATCCCATTGTTGATCATCCGAAAATTGCAAAAGATTGCCATGATTTTTGATGAATTTTGTGTTTATCCCCACTTTTTAAGGACACACCCAAAGCTAATGCTCACACAGAGGTGCCGGAAAACTTCCAAAATTGCCAGGGAACTCAAGGCGTTTCGTCTCGGAATCCAGATATTCCTGCCATGTGCAGTGAACCAAAGTGGATCTCCATGGTTCATGTTGAACATCACAGATACTACTAGTAATACAGTACCAACATTGAGTGTGGACTGTTGCAGAGGAGAGTGGCTGCAGCTTGGATAAAATATGGCAGTTCCCAGCTGTGATGCTCCTGGAGGTTGGGTTATCGGAGCCCTGTCCGCGGCTGCCGCCTTGTTTTTCTTCACTCCCATGTCAAGGCTCGTCTGCATCTTGAACAAGTCCGTGCGCAAGTGGTCTGAATCCTGCCAAGGCTACCAAAGTTTGCAAGTTCTGAGTGGGATATGCTCCTACATGGCAAACTGTGTGATAACGACTACTTGATTCGCTTTGTCCATAAAAACAGGGGGTTCCGCTGAACGTTTGATCATATAATTTTCCCCATGAAAATTGCCAGAAAATGAGGGTCAATCATTCAGAATCATGGTGAATCCCACATTTTTTGACACTCACACCCATGTATTGGCGCAGTCCTCCTGCGCTCTCATGATCTGCTTGTTTAATCTCTCAGTGGTTGAGGTCAATTTCCTTGCTTGCTAAAAAACAGTGCAACTTGTCCGATGTCATATTCTCTGTGCACCCTCATCAGACATGGCAGTAGAAAATCATCAATGGGTAACATTGTTTCTGTAAATGAATGACATGGATGATTTTCCATGATTTTCCCATCGCCACATTTCTTGGAACTCAGCTCTCAACTTGCAATCGTGGTTGCACTGCTCCACCTGAATGTCGGTGCACACCAAGATGATCTTCTTGTAGTGAAACATGCATACAAATGGATATATTTATATTATGAATATATATATATATAGTATGTGTATATGTACTGTATATATTATACATATATGTATATAAAATAAGTATATGTAATGAATATACATATATATATATATAGTTACTGTACATATATATATAGTTACACACACACATATATATATATATACAGTTATAATTATATATATATATGGTTGCAGCGTAGAGGTTTCCCATTCCCAAACAAATGCTGATGCAACTTCACAAAAATCCTATGGGAAAACAACGAAGGTACTAGGGAATCTTAAACTCCCACCCCCATTAAACCTTAAATGCCTATGGGGAAAACAACAAAGGTACTAGGGAATATTAAACTCCCACCCCCGTTAAACCTTAAATTCCAATGGGAAAAAGAACAAAGGTACTAGGGAATATAAAACCCCCCACCCCCGTTAAACTTTGCATTCAATTGGGAAGATCAACAACGGTATTAGGGAATATTAAAGTTCCACCACCGTTAAACTTTACATTCAATTGGGAAGATCAACAACGGTATTAGGGAATATTAAAGTCCCACCACCGTTAAACTTTACATTCATTGAAGATCTTCAATAAGGGTTTAATTCACCCACCCACCCCAAACTTCTAGATTCATTGAAGATCTTCAATAAGGGATTAATCTTCCCACCCCGTTAAGCTTCTGCATTCATTGAAGATCTTCAATACGGGTTTAATTCTCCCACCCCGGTTAAACTTCTACATTCATTGAAGATCTTCAATAAGGGTTTTATTCTCCCACCCCGGTTAAACTTCTACATTCATTGAAGATCTTCAATAAGGGATTAATTCTCCCACCCCCGTTAAACTTCTACATTGATTAAAGATCTTCAATAAGGGTTTAATTCTCCCACCCCCGTTAAACTTCTATATACATTCATTGAAGATCTTCAATAAGGGCTTAATTCTCCCACCCCCGTTGAACTTCTACATTCATTGAAGATCTTCAATAAGGGATTAATCTTCCAACCCCCGTTAAACTTCTAAGCTGACTGAAGATCTTCAATAAAGGTTGGATGATGATGATGATGATGATGATGATGCGTCGCCTGTCGTCATTGCGGGTCCGGGCAAAGCCCAGGCATTTGCCGTATAGTTATATATATATATATACCTAGTTATATACATATAGCTATATATATATAGCTATATATATAGTTATATATATATATATAGTCATATAGTTATATATATACATATAGTTAGATATATCAATATATATATAGTCATAAATATAGTTATATATATACATGTTATTTAACTATATATATAACTATATTTATGACTATATATATATATAATTACAATATATAATTATATACATATGCTTACTTACATAGTTATATATATATAGTTATATATATAGTTATTTATATATATAGCTATATATATATATATACATAGTTATAGATATATATATATAGTAGAACTATACATGTGAATTGCTTGTATCTTACATGTAAAAAATCTTCAGAATAATGATTGTAGTCACGAAAGCTGTCATCGTCCAAGAGGAACCCACAGAACGATACAACTAAGCTGCCGATAGCAATCCAATTCATCACTCTCTGACCCTACTAATGTCTCCTAATGTGGCAAACCCAAGAAGTAAACCATAAATGACTACAAGTGGGTGGTATAAACTATCCTATCCTCAGTTGGAGATTTTGGGGACGCATTTGGGCCGGGCATCCGGGCATTTGACAAGACTTCGCGGATGTGGTTGGCTAGCTTGAGCTGGCGATGGGAGCGGCACTCGAGCTCCCGTCTTGGGGTTGTCCAAAATGTCACATTTAAAGTAAGCTTGGAAAAACATGGGAGAATGTTCTTGTTACTTGGGAAAACTATGATAAGCTATGTTTTTTTTGTGTACCCAAGTTTCAGACAGCCCCACATCATCTTCATCGTCAGACATGAGCAAGTGTTTCCCAATTGTTGCACAAAAGCAGGTTCACTCCTGGTACAAACCTGTCAGCTCTCTGTGCAGAATTTCAACTCTGATCCACTCAGATTTGTTACCTTACCACTGAAGGGCAAGGGAACAAGCCTCAAGATCTTTCTGGCTACCCCAGAAGTCATCAAGCTGTTTCCTTGGCAACGTGACCATGCACACTTCTGGGCACAGTACATGCGAAGAATAATGAACTATGCATCGTGATCTACATTTTGCAAAGTGAACTCATGAAACCTTTCAGTGCTTTCAGGAGTGCTTGATAGGGAGATGTTTGCTTCGGATTTGGGCCCTTGCGCAAACCAAATGTATTTCACTAGAACGACATGCAGACTCATACAGATCATCTGCGCCATTGTCTTTCCACAGATGAACATGTTTCGTAGTGGCGATTTGGTATGCGACAGCTGTTTCATGCAATGATGTCGATGTCATCTTGAACTCTGCTGACCTTCATCCCCGTGTTGTGCCAAAGTGACGAAGCTCCACAGTCTGATACATGTGCAGAAAAATGGAAGGAAGCTTCCCTGCTTGCGAGTATTAGTATTTCCAGAGAATTGGGATCAAATGAAAATGGTGTAAAAATGTGTAAAATATCTCCTCAAAACAAGAGAATGAAAGAAATGAGTTGTTAGTTCAGGGAGACAAATGAAAGTGACACGTACCACAGAGTAGGTACAGTAGATGCAGGTAGACCACCCTCAACTCCATTTCGGTATAGTCATCTCCACCAGAGCACTCAAGACAGCTGAAAGACAGGTGACAATTGCTTGCCATCTTGATGTTATGTGGCCTCTCCAAAATGTTATCATGAGCAACAGGAAGGGGTCATCCGTTTCAAATTGGTTTTGGTTTTAGTTTCATGCATGCAACCGTATACGTATAATATCGTATAATATATATATAATATATATATATATATATATATCCATCATAAATCTGATCGTTAGCCTACTTACAGATTTTATAGTAGAGCAACAGCAACGTCTTACTTGGATTTATTCTGAAAGCCATGGGTTTCCAATAGTTGTAGTTATATAGTTGATGATTTATTTATTTCACAGAAACGTGTTACAATAAACCAATTGGTTTCTTCTTGAACAAACCAATAGCATTGGACGACCCAAATCGCCATCGCCAAGGCTGCCAAGGGGCTTGAATTCCTGCACCAAGCCCAATTTGTCCTGGCGTGGACGCAAAAAACTCTCTGGTCACCAAACCTGCCAATGCAAAAAGCATCATGTTTGATGGGAAAATACTTGAACATACTGGACAATAATCGTGTTCGTGTGGGAACAACATTGGAATTTTTCCTGGGAAATAATGGGGAACTACTGCAAAATCATGGGATATGTGGGTGATTTCATCATCTCCACATCCGTGGGGATTTCATCATCCATGGAAAAAAGGGAACGCGCCGCACCATAGCGCGATGGACATCTTTGGCCATCATCGTCCTTGGTTGAGAAGTCACCAGATCAGCTAATTGGTAGGGATATACTACAGGATATATATATATATGTATATAATTTTATATAGCAACCACCAAACAGATAGAAAGGTAAATCCTCCAAAATACAGAGCGGTGTGTTTCTGAATCTTTTGGAGGTTCTATATTGGATACTTGATGGGAGATATAACCGATATTTGATATCTGGGTGTGTCTGAACAATTCTGAACACAGGGAATTTAACATGATTTCACCACCCCAGTTATGGCCAGCCATAAATAAGGGAAACGATAGTCAAAAAACCGTCAGCCTTAGGGTTGCCCCATTTTTCAGAAAGCCCCAAATATCATACTGTTGGTGATGTCTCATTCTATTCCCATCTTAAGTTCCCATTGATAGATGATTTTTCTAACAGATATTCATTCTAAAGCGCCAATTTTTGGTGGTCCAGTGGTCCACCTCGTCTCGCGAGGCGTCCAAAGGCGATCCAAGTCGCAGAATTCCATGCTGACTCTCTATCCTGGCAGACAAGTGGTCGCCTCGGCAAGACGTGACCCCTGGCGAAGCATCTTGGTGCATCCCGCCGTTGGTAAGTTTAAAGTGACCGCATCACTCACCCCAGTTGGAATACCCTCTGGTAAACTAAGCTAAACTAACATAGCTATTGACAATGGTGATTTATAGTGGATTTTCCCATTAAAAATGGTGATTTTCCATAGTTACGTTAGTTTACCAGAGGGTAATGTCATTCGGAATATCCCAAGATATGTTTTTCCAAAATGATTGAAGAGGCCGCCATCAATGGCCCGTCGAAATCTGCCTCTCAGATCTCTGGGTTGAGCACAGTGGTTCTGCATGCGAACGGCACGTTCCACAGTGGGTGCAACCACCTGACTGCACAGGTCTCACAAAACATCACAAAACCCAAACGTCGAGACCTCAAAAAGTCTTCATTTTTCGTCTTCATCTTTCCCGGCCATTTCCCACTTGTTCCAATTGGTGTTTTGGAAGCCATGTCCTACGCGTTTCCAAAACATCCGTTCTGATTCGTGCCTCCAAAACCATCTCCCGGAGCTTCACCTGCAACATGGCCATGATGGGGTTTTCGATTTTTTGACATCACCAAATCAGAGATTGATATGACTTGATCAAATCATTTAGATAATACTATACATATTATATTCATATCATATTATTTATTACAGATATTTTATCATACCTGATAGAAATGTGCAGTGACCTCAGATGCACCATGCCTCCAGTCTGGCATGTTTCACTTCATCCTCCTGCTTCTCCTCAGGTCACAGATCAGGTCACATGTGATCACCGCTGGACCCGAGGGGCCGCATCCCCTTGGCATCCCTTGGCTGCCGGGCAATGTTGGCCTCTGCCAGACTGAGTCCCGCAAGCCTCGGGGATCTCAAGCTGCAAAGAAATGAATCAATTAGCTGGGCAAGTATCGATTGGTATTTTTTTGATATCCAAAGATATCCAAAGATCAATTTAAACAGTCATTGGGTTGGTTTGATGGAACAATGATTGTATATATAATATGTATATATATATATACACATAGGAAACCATGGAAAACCATTCTTTTGACCACTACTTAATACATCTTGATACTACTTATATAATTTTATAAAGGTATTTCAATTTATTTCATAAGTAAATGCTCCTGGATTGTCCAAGTCACACATTTCACATGTTGGGTTCTCTGAAAATGCAGGGGGGGGTTACCCCAAATTCATGGCCGGGTTTTCTGGTGAACATTCCCCAGAGGATGACGGATGACCGATGACCCATGGGGCTCCCAAGCACTTGTTCCGCATCGGAGCTTCTGGGTAGCGACGCTTCCTGAGACAAATTCTATTGTGGGGTACGAGTACCACCTTTTTCAGGGTATGTCGTACGTCAGGTTTGGGATCATATGATATGGCTGTATATTATATTATGGTTGTATATATGGATGTATATGGTAGGTGTGTGAAATCATGTTCCCCATGTTTAAGGCCATAAATCTCCATAAAGCTGGATCTGTTTGATTGATTTTGACTTCCAGGTCTCCATACTCCAGTTCAAAGCAGGGGTCCTTAAGTCCAGTCAGGTCCGATTATTCATATTATTCTGGGTTCTTTCAACAAATCGACCAATTCTTTGAGACTCCAAGAAGATTGAATTACAAATCACAGTGGATCGGTTCGTATCTGGGGATCCACTCCGTCATTGGAGCCACCTGGCATGACGTCTTGTAGATTCACGTCCAAGACTTTGAACAGTCGGTGTATTACAGCTAGATTGATTTTACTGATGCTTCACTGATTTGGTCCTGTGTTTCTCTGTGCTCTTTGGCTTCTTTGCAAGCGGTTCAATACTTGAGTGTCATCTCTTTGAATCATGAGCCTTGAGATTCTACCGATGTTCGTGCATGATTTGGTTCATTGATGCGTGCCACCTTTCTTGATACAGTTTTTTTTGCATCGGCCAGCTTTGTCTGAAATCCCAACTTCTTGTGGTGCATGACCAATTTTGCCAGGAATCCTTGCCCGCCTTGAGACAGAACACAAGGTGGCACACTGGCGTCTCAGAAGCCCCGTTGAGGTGTGGATCCAGCTGTTTTAGACATCGAAATAGGCCACCATGTTTTGGACTGTGCTCAAACCACTGGACTCATTGGGAGGACAACTGACATGATCTGCCATGCAACACCTGCCAATTCAATGCAAGGTTTGCCATTAAAACGATGCGGCATGGTGTTGCACTGCTGCCCTGCAGCTGAGAATTTTTGGTGTACCCCGCATCTTTCGAACGCCGCAGCATGACCCCCTTGAGCAAACGGAGGCGAAGTGAGGCAATGTATCAACTTCATGGCTTTGCTGGATATCATATCCATCACCGATTGCAAGGTCAGCCACAGGTTCTTTTTAGTCTTGGACCATGTGCTGTGGTATTTTCCATTTGGTTTGGTCTCAAATTGGGGAATTGCCCCCCAAGACTCAGGCCATTTTGATCGGGAAAATGATTTTCTAAACCATAGGATCTTTGGAGACAAACCCAAATTTAAGGTACATGCGCCAGGCCGCATTCTTTGATGACCCTGGTGCATCGCTGGGCATTACAATGATTTTCTATTAAAAATCGGCTTGGAAGCACCGGAAAGCATAAGCAAAAAACCATCGAATCCGGTGGGTGGCTTCAGATTTCGAATCAAACATGTTGAAAGCACCAACTGGAAATCATCACTGCCCAACAAACATTAGCGGCCTAAGAAAATGAGGCAAATCTCTCATCCTCATTTCTTTGCATTCACACCTGTCAAGACCTTGGACCAGTCAAAATCGCTGCAGAGAAAAACCAGGAAACAAAAGGCATATGACTGGCCTGTTGCACATCACAAAGCTTTTGAGCCTTGGATGCCTACCTGATGCCTCAATGCAGTGCGTCATATACCGATGGATTTGTAGATTGATGACTTTAAGCATTTCACGGAACAAAGGCCATAAGTTTGTTACCTCTTCATCGGAGGAGTCATCGCTGTCTGTGGGAATTGCATCGTTGAAGCCGTCCTCCGGGTAGTGGGGGCACGCAATAGTCGTACACCAAAAACCAAGAACCCAGATGACCCCAATTTTGGATCAATGCTTTGTTTTATGGCTTAATTCTCAGCGATCCTCCCAAACTACGTTAATCTAAATTGAGTTGGCAAGCCTACTCTCATCCCAATACTCCAAGCACCAATAAAACATGAAGGACACATCATATTGCTCAAAACTTCCAAAGCACTTCACTCTTCGGCCTCACTCGGTGTGTGGCTCCGACTCTTCGGCCTGTCAGCAATCTCACTGCGGTCAGTCCTGCGAGACCAGGCAAGTGATCATTGACACATGACACAACAGTGGTTTCCAAAAGCAAAAAGGTCTTAGAGGGATGTCTGTAGTTTTCTGGTTGTAGATCAATTCACCCAGTACTTGCATGCTCCAGCAAGAATCTCTAGGTGGGCTCTATCCCCAGCGCTAGAGTTCGAAGTATTCCCATTTAGAAAACTCCCATGCAACCTGCTCGGGAGATGATCCAGCTGTTTTCCGTCCTTTGCGAAGCAGATGCATTGGGACTGATGCTCCGAGACTGGAGAGTTGTCCTTTGAGGAACACCTGGCAGACTGGGCGATTGCTTCGCTTCGGAACAATGCCGAAGTGGGGGAGCCTTGAGACCGTCGCACTGGCACGCTTCCGCCCCGACGAATTGCACCTGCCGGCGTTTTCCGGAACGTCTCTTGATATGTTTTTTTTTGCGAACATGCTCAGGTATCACCAGATGTCCAGATGTTCATAGTTTCATCAACCATGAGAATACTATAGAATCATCACGTTGCTTTGCCACCCATTGGCATCCCGGACACCTGGGGGAAGCCGTTCACCGTGACCTCAGGGTCGGCTGATGGTTTTTCACCTCCCCAGCATGCGCATAGCAAAGTCAGAGGTACAGGACCAATATCTCACATAGGAAGGCAATTTCCAGTAGTATGACAGTAGTGTGAAACAACATAAAATAAATCTGTGTGATATAGGATTGCCACTTGCTGCCTGTGTATCCAGTTGGTTTGCTGCTAAAGGGATAGAATGTTGATAGCCTTTGCGTACAGAAGGTGAATGAGCACCTTCTCTGCGGGAACTTTCAAGTATTCCTACACATATGTAATACACATATATATATATATATATGTATATGTATCTACTATGTATATATGTATATACTATGTATACAAATAAATGAATAAATAAATGGATGAATAAATAAATAAATATATATATATATATATGCATATATATATAATATTATATAATATCATGATATACGACTATGCATATGTATAATATAATTACGTATATTATATATATATGTTAGTATTTTTTTTGTGTATATATATATAATGAAATTTGTCCCAACCATTCCCATCATCACTGAGGAATCTACTTTGAAATGGAGGAGGTTGTGTCCTGAAGTTCAGTGGCATTCACTCACATATCTTGATTATCTTGTCTTATCAGTCGAGGCTGATGCTGTGGCCAACATCGCATGACAGGATATGACAGGAATCAACGGATTTTTCGGACATTTTAGGAATATCTGCAGGAAACATCAGGAAACTGAACCAACAAAAATCATGAAACATCAGGTTTTCATAGGTTTCCGGTCAATTCTCCTTTCATCCTCCAGGAAACGAGAGGAAATCAACGAGCCCAGCCTGGAATCACTGGAACCTCGGCCGGCCTGTGCTCCTGGACTTGGCAAACTCCCAGTGCAATAAATCTCATCGAATCCCATGGTACCTGACATCAATCCGATGAAGTCCGATTAAATCCCAGTGATCTGTCAAAATGATCAGCAAGCAAGGACGTCCTGCACCAGCACTACCGACGCTGCTGGCAGTTCCAGGCCGACTGCAGGACGAGTTGACCCTGGGGAATGGCCTACTTGGGTTGTAAAGTCATCCCCAACAATGATGATATGATGACTTACTTTTTTTCTTATCTTTTTGGGGGGATTAACCTATTGAGTACTTTTTGGGGGATTCATCTATTGAGTAGAATTGTAAATCCATCCCAATGTGACGAGCATTTACTTTGTTATCTTTTTGGGAGATGACTAGAGATGACTATCTCAGTTCCCAAGTGAGATGCCCAGCCTTCTGGGAATGGGCGGCCGCGAGGGGCAGGACCTCAGTGCTTGACGGTATTAGCAAGGTTGCCAGGGTTTCCATAAATGGGGGTACCCCAAAATGGATGGTTTATAATGGAAAATACCATTAAATGGATGATTTGGGGTACCCCTATTTCAGGAAACCTCCATATAAACATATATAAACCATGATACCAAGAAAACTCAGGGATGTCTGTGTGGCATATCTTCCTTCTTGGTCCAGGACTCCATTTCAGCCGGGGCTGCCTGTCATCAATGTGAACACATTTTTCAATGGATTGGTTTAAGGAACATCTACGGGACCATGGTTTTTCCCATCAAACTATCTTCAAATAAAAGGGGTTCCTGTAAGACGTTCCCTTCAACCCAAGTCTAGGAAACATGGATATGCAATGATATGCATCCCCACGAGATTCCATTTGAACTATGCTGAATGGATGGAAACAATGGAACCAGTGATCAGACGAGTCATTTTTCGAGTCATGGCTCTCCCTGGGAGGAGCTGACCTGCATCACCATGTTTATGGTTGGCAGCACGGGTACACTGTACACTGTTGATCAACTCTGTAATGATGTGTAATGTAATTGTAATTGGTAATTAAATGATATTAAATGATATTAAATGATATTAAATGATATTAAATGATATTAAATGATATTAAATGATATTAAATGATATTAAATGATATTAAATGATATTAAATGATATTACATGTCATTGGTCATGCAAATCACCTTTTCACATCTGCTTCTGAAGAATTTCTCATCGGCACGACGTGTCGTGCCTCTAGCTGCTCAATCCGCGTGGATTTTTCTGCGGATTGGGTGCGCAGCCTGTGATTTTGGTGACCCACGGCTTACCCGTAAGGCTTCCAATGTGGAGCTGGGAGCTGGCCATCTATGGCATTCTAAGGCCATCTAGAACAGTTGCCAATCTGAAAACCAGTCTCCAGCGTTTAGAAAGTGTGTCCAAATGAGGATTTTCTCTGGATCTTTACCACTGGCAACCACTAATACCTTCCCAACTTTCCCAGCTGCCATGCCTTTGTACCTCAGCTTCAAGCTGATTACATCGCGCATTCGCCTCACAGAGGACTGAGAGGACCCTCAGATTTTTGTACGCCACGTGTTTCCCCCAAATTTCCCAACAGAACCTTGCTGGGTTGCCAAAAAAAGAAACCTGACAGAGTATCAGCCTGTCATATTTTTTGTGCTCACATATGAAACCGGTCTCCAAAAATGATGGCTGCTGTGGTACAACTGTCTCAAGCCTCGTCCAACCGTTCAGCGGACTCCCGGCTACGCCTCACGATGCAAGGCATCAAATTATTTGGGGTGTTGTGTCAATATCTCCTATTAGTTTTCAACTGACTAAGGGCCAGTGCCGATCATTGATCTTCATTACACAGGATCAGCGACAATGAACTTTAAATTAATCAGCTGGTCATTTCATCCCGTTTGGGCTGAATTCATCTCATCTCATCCCGAAATGCTCACAATGTAACCATCATCCAGCTTGGTGAAGTGTAAACATCCTTTGCCATTTTGGCAATCCCCTACCGCATAATTTCGACAAGGACCCAGTTGTGGGCTTGGAAGCTGGCTCTTCATGTTCTTTCGCTTTTTCCTCAGCGAGTTGCTTCGCCTGAATGCTGGCAAACTTCACGCCTAAAACATGTGATTTGTGCAGGATACCGTTCCGCAAGAGCATCAAACATAACATGGGTCCAGATGGTTTAACATCCCAATATACCCGAAGCAGGAGCCATCAACGCTCCTGTGGTCAGATAGGTTGCCGCAGGCCTGTTGGCATTGTTTCAATTTCTGCGCTCCGTCGGAAGCATCGCGAGTTCTTTGCTCACGGCTTTTCAACTGGCCATGTGACATCAAAATTGAGATGCACCGAATGCACTTGGTTTGTTGGCCACAATAGGTTGACCTAAGTTGTTGTGGTTGTTTTGCCACATCCCCTTCGAAACGATGTTTCTCTTTTGGGGTCGTCCTTTACTTGAGATACTGACTGATGATGACAGATCAAACTCGTGAGTTGAACACCGGATTTGAACTTGGGGCTCATGTTGTCCCCTGAGCCTTTTCCTCCAACTGAAGACAGCGTTCCTCAAGTTCCAGTCTTCTTCCGCTCTCCTCCTCAGAAAGCACAGCACCAAATCATCCATTCACACAGCATAGGCAAACCAAGAAATGTTGACATCATGGAGAAGTGCATTGTTTTTTTTGGTTGTTGCATTGGTTACTCAAATAAGGTTTCCCAACACATATTATCTATGAATATAGTGTACCCCAAAACAGTGGTCTTCGCGCACCCCAAAACAGTGGTCTTCGCATTAAATGTCAATGACTCAATGACCATGAATATATGTTGGGATGATTGGGGCATCACCGCTTTAGGTATCCCTTACCACCATCAACTTGTCTACATGGAGCTTGCCTCAGAAAATGGGGATGCCCCAAAATGTCATTAGTTTTGGCAGGAAAAATGACAACAACTATATATCAAACACTATCAAAATTCAAACCCCAATTATTGTCAATAGTATTCCAAATAAAACATAACAAAACTACTTTATCACTCAGGGGTTGTCTGAAATTGAGTACTGTACCCCCTTCCATCCATTGGTTAATCATGTTTCCTAAAGTGGCACAACTGGGGGTATTCATCTTCATACCAGTAAACTTTACTGATGAATAAACCATCATAAACCTCTATGAAACTCCATTGCTGGGGCTATTCATGGCTATTCCATTGGTTAATGACCATGGCCATGGCCCATGACCGTCGACGATCGACAGCCCCGTGGTTTTCGGCATCCCACGGCAACCTCGTAGCGTCGCACCACATCCTGACCTCCAGCCTTCAAGCGCTGCAGCTCCCCTTTCGAAGCTGCAAGCTCCTGCGCAGAAACTCATGTGGTAAACCATGGTATTGGATGGTATTGGGCCATAGATCATCTCATTCACCAACCATTTGGGGATTATACATAATTATACAATAACTTAGCATAACTTAGTGGGATTTGATGAGAATCGCTCGTTTTGAGGGGTGCTTGAAAGGCCAAAAAGCGCGGTTAAAACCTCCGATTTTCCATTGATCCCAAAGGTTGAAACATCGAAGATCCGTTACGAGGGGACTATCTAGGCCGGCCATTGAAAGGCAACCTGGCAGCCCCTGAGAAATGATGGAGTTGGCCAAAGATGTTCAACGAGTGTTTCATGAAACTCAACGCATCAAAACTTTCGCATCAGGGTCACCAACAGCTCTATCAGCTCTCCCTCGGCCGTGGCCTTGATTAAAGTCTGGGATTTCTGCTCTGCCTTTCGCATTTCTTCCACCAGTTTCACAATCTGTGCCTTCCACCTTGGTCGTTTCTCAAGCAGCTGATCTTAGCTGATCTTAGCTGATCTTAGCTGATCTTAGCTGATCTTAGCTGATCTTAGCTGATCTTAGCTGATCCCTTCCTGCCTTCGACCCTCATCCCTCAGGATCCCCAATAAAATCCGCAATCACCAAGGCTTCAGGACCCTGGGTGTTGGCACTGCTCTTCAGCACGACCGTGTTGCTCTTGCAACCTCAGGAGTTCATATCTGGCTGTCGCACCGGAAATACACGCATGTGCAAGGATCCGCTCCTGTTCCTCCAGCCCTATCAGGCCGTGGTTCAGTGGTTCATTTCCTTTTAACACCTCCAAAAAAAGCACATGCAAAGCCCGGAGCTGCTCCAGAGCACCACTGGGTCTTCGCACTGCCGCAACTCCACATCGCGGTCTTGCAAAGCTTGCTGGGCAAGACCACCTCATGGCGAGACCGCGAGACCGCGAGACTCAGAAGGATTTGTGTAACATGGAAATACATGGAATCCCCAAGGGACTGATGCTTCAGAGGGTGAAGTGAGCTTGGTTTCGGATCTATCCAATCTTGGCAATGTAGAACTGTAGAACAACTCGTGATGTAAAGAAAGCGGGAGGTCATTCACTCATGCATGGTCCAAAATGAGTTGCATAGGAGATCATAGGAGTACAGATAGCAAGAACGCAGTTGAGTGTGGCTTGCAATCAGGAGCCTTGAGTTCAGAAACTGTGCTTTTGATTTGAATCTGTGCTGTCACAAAACGGGTCGCTAAGATTAATGATTACAGATGAAAAACCTTTTGAGAGGCACAAATGTAGCACCAATCAATGATGGTGGTTCGAGACAAATAATTGGCTGATCTTGAGTCAAGTCAAATCCCCAACATTGAGCAGCCACTTAGATATTGGCTACAAACACGTTTATGGCTTATGATCTTTTACTGTATCTTGAGTTTTCTTCGTGTTGCTTCTTCAGGCATCTTCAGGTGTTTAAGCACTAAAGTTGCCGGTGATTGTTTTCCAGAATCCCTTTCAAGTCACACATAGGGAACCAATCGTCCAAGCCTATGACTGGCCAATCAACTGGGTCTCATCACTTTTCGACTGCAAATGCCAACTCACTCGTTGCCATCGAGCTAATCTCGCCCATCAGCTGCGATGAACTTATGAATTTCATTGCCCCATGACATGCAACCAACGTGGCAGCCATACCTTGAAACGCCGGGGTGATATGGTTTCATGATGCAATGAGAAAGAAAACACTTGGGAAGCGAGTTTCATTCGAATCTAATGTCTCAGAAGTTTAAAAACTTCAAACCGCTCAACAATGCTCAACATATTGACCATTGCGCCCCAAGTAGAAAGAATGTAACGTCTTGCATTGACTTCCGTAGATCCAAAACTGAGAGACAAACAAACACATTCAAAAACAACCTGAGAAATAGCACGAAATAGATATAGGCTGCAAACCACATCATCTCCACCCAACTCCTCCAGCAATTGCACAGCGATCTGCCAGCGCTTTGCTGCAGCACAGCTCTCCAGGGCTGCCCCGTAGAAGGCCGCATCGGCTGGGACGTCCTGCTGCAACGCCCTGTGGAGCAACAGTAAGGCCACCTGGGAAATCGGGGTCGACCCCCAGGCGTCCCATCTTGCGTTTCTGTTTTTGGCTGAGTGATGCCTAGTGATTCCTAGTGGTTTTTGGATGTTTTGGTGAGTTGCTTTCCATTCACCACAAGTGTGTTTTTTTTGGTGTCTTTCATTGTTTTTCGTGATGTTTTTGGATTGTCTGCAGCCAGAAAAAAAACCTCGGATGGCCCTTCCTGGACTTATCCAACCAGATTTTGTCCTCGGGTGCCCACCCGATCCTGACTCCCAGCCGGGGCACTTGCCAATTCTTCATTGCAGTCACGGCTGACGTCCATGCGATGGAATCCCAGCCCAGAGCTTTCAAGGTACCCAGTGATGCCAGTGACACCAGTGACACTTGCCATTGCTTGGTGCGTTCCAAGATGGTGAGCATCACGCTGTAACTCACCTCATGGAAGACTTACCCTCCAGTCATACAAATTCCGAAGATTCCCCAGCTAGTTCGATGATTTTCCTAGCATTTTCTAGCTATAAACCTCCATTTTTTTTCGGACATGTCCCATTGCCACGTTTGGTTACCAGAGGCTATAAGGGGTTGTCTGAGAGATTTGGGGACAATCCAATGATTAATCACTTCCCCCATTAAACATTAAACATCATTAAACTGACCATAAACTGACACAACCAGCACGTGATGAGCAACTGCCCATGCATTTGTAAGTAGAGTCAATGGCAAACTATACTCGCAAAAATGGTGAGGACTTCACGTTTTGTGGGCCTCGTCTCTGCAAGGTGATGTTATCTTGAGAGGACAATCTAAGATTTCCCGGGTTTGATTGGAGAGAGGTCCTGTTTCAAAGTTCTCAAAAGTTGATACCAAGGCGTTGCCATCATTGCCATCATCATCGTCCTCCTCCTGCGCGCCTCATCAGGTTGAACCCTGTGCTGCCCCATAGAACTCAAAAGCTCCAGAGCTACCTTCCACTGCTGTACTTCCTCACAAATGCTCATCATGACAGAATTGTAGCTGATCTCATCGGTGACTGCTGTAAACTTCGGTGCTCTCAACATGAACAGCGGTTGCGCCCAACAACCATCACAGCTGCTGCCTATAACAGCATTGATGCTGAATGCATTCGGAAGAACCCGACGAAGCGGCATCAAACTGAGCTGGTGGAATGCACCTTCCCATCGATCAGCTTTTTGAAATGCGCTGAGGAGTGCACTGATTGTGATTGTGTCCCTTTGAGAACTCAAGGACATCAAAGTTCCTGCTAGTTTCCACTCTCTGCCCTTCTCACATGCGCTGATGAGAGCAGAGTAGGTCAACTCATTTCCCACCACTCTGTACCATTGCATTTCTGAGAAAAGATCGAAGGCTATCGACCATCGGTGCATTGCAGATGCGATGGCCGATGAGCTGCTAAACACATTCCTCATGGGGATCAAGTCTGTGCATACCAAAACAAATCCATGCGAGAGCTACCGAAACGAAACAAGAATAAAGATAATAAATGATAATAAAACATGTTTCCTGCAATTATCGTTGTTTTCATACATGCGTTCGTTGCTGTCTAAAATCTACTCCTTTCCCAGCGAGATCAAGTGAAACCAGTCAAAACTAGTTCGGCTGCAGCAAGGCCGAGAGGCATTTTGATCCCCAGCGTGCGCATGTGCCGCAACAACTCACACGCCTCTGTCCAGCGACCACTGGAACTGGGTTGCTTTGGCTGCATCCGCGCGCACGCTTTCTTTGCAGCACTGTAGGTCACGTCATTCGCAGCGACCTGGGACGTAATTCGCTGAATAAGAATCAACAGAATGATCAGTTCAGCTGCAACTGGATATGAATTCATTGCATATTGGTTGCTCCCTGAAACTCACCGACAATTTTCTGTTGTGATATGTTTGGTATGTGAGACTTGATCCATCGCGCCTGAGAGTCTGCCATTTCCTTCAAGAAGTTCAAAGCACATTCCCATTTGAAAGACTCGCCACATGAAGAGATGATCGCTGTGTAGTGGAAGACGTTGTTTTCCTCGGCTGCAACGAGGGGTAGCAGGTTGAAGTTTTGTTTGTGTTCGTTCCATGCAACTTCATGCAACAAACCCAAAAGCCCCAAAAGGGGATGACCATCCTCGTTATTGGGAAAACCAACCATGTAACTTGACCATGGCACATATGCTGTCCCGATATATCTCTATTATATCCGTACTATGGTTGGTTCAATCCCATCCTTGCCATACTTATCCATTAACAACTTACGAGACATTTTGGGGTAATCTCCCTATCGTGGCCCTATCGGAATATCATTCCTAGTTCTATCCTTCATTTATACAGGATTCATATAATTATAAATGGATTCATAATCATATTAAAATATCAATTTTATCCATATATATATATATATCCATAGATATCTCCATATATTAGCTGCCATATTCCCCAGAATTCATAGTCTCCATAAAGAAACTGCCAGGGTTCCAGCAATGTGAGTCTTATCTTGCGCAAAAGTTCCGCAGCTTCCGTCAGCTGATCGCCTCTCAGCTTTGCCAGGGCGGAAGTTGCCACCTGGGGCCTCTCAGCAGATTTCCGGCAAGGTTTGTCCAAACATGATATGTGTATATACTATGTATATATATATAATATATGTCATTCTCAAAGCATTCAGGTGTTGTCTCATTGCATTCAGGTGTCATGTTTGCAGCAGGGCAACTGCACGCAATCATGTTTTGGCTAACCGAACATGTCACAAATACCAATCTAAGCCTAGGGTGATGGTTCCACTGGAACCATCGTCCTTTGTTTGCTTCGGACAGCTCTTTATTCAGTTTTTGGAATCTTCTTGGAGATCCACTGAGTCAAGCTGATGCTTAGCACGCTTACAGGGGGTGATGGTTCCAGGGGAACCATCGTCTTTGAGAAGTGACTTGGTGGAGCCCACGAAGGACGATCCTGACATGCAGCAAAGGGATACTAATTCAAAACTATCAATCCATTTGCGAAACATTTTTGGCAACTTGATATTTTGCAAAACTAAATTTTTAAAATGTGGCATCACAATACTTTGGCAGCATGATATTCTGGCAACATAATATTCTGGAAAAATGATAGTTTGGCAAAATGATATCTTGGGATACACACCGGCCGATTTCCAACGATGACTGCAGTTTTCAAAAAAAACACTTTGCAAAAAAAGGCTCCTGAAACAGCCGCAATTTGAATGGCAGGGGGCAACAGCAGCAGGAACATGATTTCAACGCAAACAAACCTGCAGGAAACCGAATTATGTGCTGGTAATGAAAGTCTGATTTTGATTGACTAATGAAAAAGGCGAATGCGCTGTATTGTTCACTGCGCCAAAGATGGTGAAAGATTGGGTTGCGTTTTATCATCACGGGTGCCGGGACGCCAGGACGCCCTGCATGAACATGTTTTGTTTGAAGTCATGCACTGCCCATACCGGTTTTATCCGGTTTTTCAGCCAAGCTTGAATTTGAGATTTTTTGGTCATGAAAGCCATGTTAGTCGATCTTTCTATGGGTTTATGGTGCGTGATAAGGGTCACAATTTGCTACTGTTGCGGTATGAGCATGGCAGTGCCACTGGCAAACAGTCCAACACTATCATTGCAGCACAATATCATGCAGCACAATTATTCGAATCATTGCGCAGAAACACAATACCAATGCAATAAAACCATATATAAAACCTATAAACTTTCATTGGATTGAAGATTACATTGTGCATGGTGCACCTTAGTTCAGCCTTGCAAACCGTAGAAGGCAAAATCCAGAGCATGACTGTGTTGCAAAAATCAACGAAAAAAACGCGTGCAGTTGCCTTGCGTCTGAGTCAAACCGCAAACGTAAAACCTGAATGGAATGAGACAACACCTGAATGCTAGGAAAATGAGATATATAATATAAGATATATATACCCAATACTTCCACGTCGTCGTTTAACCTTGATCTAGCACAACATCGAGCTTTCACCTTATCCCATAGCTATCTTATGCTCTAAAGGGAAACCCCACCAGATCTGAGATGCCTGAAACATCCAGCCTGGAACTCAGTCCCTCTTGACAATGCTATTTCCATTCAAGTTATGTTCTTTCACACATTATCGATATCCTTATTGTTTTAGTTCAAGGTCATGGGAAATGAATGAGAAGGGCACTGGCCAAACGTGCATGGCTCAGCGAGGAACTTTATCAGATTACTGGTTTATTGAAGGACATTGAAGGCATTTGTGTTTTCTGAATGATAAGGTCGGGCAAGGGAACCTCGAGGTGCATCCCAACCTTGCCATCATGTGTTTGCCTGAAAATTGTGAAATCCCTAAATTGAGTTGATTTGGGGATTTCTCATTTTCTGACAACGCCGCATCTGCCAGCATCAATGATCACCTTCCTTTTCAGTGCTTGCATTGCTCTGTGAAACACACCTGGATTCGTCATTCTCTGCCTCTGGCCAGCTACATCCTTTGCTCAAAGGGCATTTAGGGCAAAATGCCTTCCTCGAAGCCTGTGCAGGCTATTGTTACCAAATTGAAGGACCCAGTTCATCGAAAACATGATGCAATCACTCTAGTCTTGATTCACCTCAATTACAGTATTGAATCAGCATGTCACATGCTTTTATTTCAATCTCAAGAATTTGGATTTGTATATACTTCAATCTTCACATGCGCAGGATTTCTTCAATGGCATGTTCGAGGATAATCCAGACTACAGAACTACAAGGCTCTTTGCAGCAAGTGTTCTTTACATTAGCTCATGTCCTTGTCCCTGTTGTCGCAGGTTCAAGGAAATCGGCCGACTGAAGGGTATCCCAGAAGATGAGATAAGGAAAGCCCTGTGGAGAAAGAAGGCTGGCTGGCATATTGAGAAGTGGATGAGTTTTAATAACATATAATATATTAATTAATATATATTATATAAATGATTTCATAAGAATTCCGCAAGCTTCCAAAAAAATATTGCAATGTCATGGGGAAACATTGTGGAGGCCCCATGCGAGTTTTCCTTCATCGAGTTGGGGCATTCGAAGTGCAAGGGCTATGACCAGCACCAGGTCGCTGATTTTTAGTGTGAAAATTAAGATGTCCTGACTGCTCTTGAACATCTTGTTTGGTGGATACAGGTGGCACATGAGACAAACTTCTTGCTCATCCGGCCATTCCTACAGCAGTTTTGCACAGAAATGCCAACTGCAAAGGAAACGCAGGCTGGCCAGTTGCACTGACATTGTGCCAGTGTGTCCATATGTGCATGCATGCAACTGCGATGTAGTATGTGCTGCTGACTTGTCACGACATGTAGAGGCCGCGCTTGCTGCTGTTGCTGTCAAGCACACCCTGGTCAACAGCCAGGATGAAAAGGATGTGGGGGTTCAGGCATCTATGGTACATCTTCATTTTTGTCTAATGAAACTAAACTAATATATGTTATTGTCCGTGTGCGATTTTGAATTGGGGTGTGCTATGTTGTATCGCTTTGTGGGGTTTTGAGATAATACCACCTCTAACATGGAGGAAATTGTTGAATCCTCTCTAGATCATCAGAAAGAACACAATTTATTTTTCTGTGTCTATGCAATAATTTGCCTCTCAGCGGATGCATTGTTCACCTGACACAGGCATGGGCACTAGACGAGGGAAACATCATCCGGGGTCTTGCCAACTATGTGATCACAAGAACGTCCAGAACATCGATCGGGAGGCTGATAGAAATATTTGTTCATCAAAACGGTTCAACTTTGTAGACATGTTGTTTTGTTCCAATCAAATTTTGATTTTGAGTCCAGTGGCCATTCCAAAATCATTACAGGAATGAGAGATTCCAATTGCTGAAGAACATTGTGAAACAGAAGTTCGAGGACTTTGCATGTTCAACCTATTGAACCAGTGACATGCATGCACTGCATTGAAAGCATATTCTTTGCCAGGAGCATGGAATCGTTTGCAGAAAGACCAGTCGCACTTTCGTCAAGAAGGGGCCCGATGATCTGATTGGATCTAAGGATGACAATCTAGAGACCCAAGCCCCTGAAGAACATGCAGGCCTGGGCCCATGAACCATAATCTATTACATTGCCTTGTTCCATGGACTGATGATGATTTAAACCTTGTGTGTCCCACATGTGTCTATGTGCATGCAGGTGTGGAGGATGATGAGTCATCCTATGAAATGATCGTTGAGGAGGAAGAGGAAGAGTCCGAGATGGAAGATGACATGGAAGTTTGAAACTCAATAGAAAATCAACATGATTTTTTGTGACATAACTGGAATCAGTGAATACTGGGTACGGTGTCTAGTGAATCAACTACTTGTGCCATGAGGTGGATGTCGGATTGGAGGCTTCGCAGCAAGTGCCAGCAAGAAACTCAGAATCGCTTTTCATGTTCTTGAAACCCAATTAGACTTTAGAATCAGTGAGTACTGGGTACAGTGTCTAGTGAATCAACTACTTGTGCCATGAGGTGGATGTCGGATTGGAGGCTTCGCAGCAAGTACCAGCAAGAAACTCAGACTCACTTTTTATGCTCTCGAAACCATGGTGTATCAGATTGATCGACTAGCATTTGATGTGGCATGGTCATGTAATGTTTAGTGTTCTCTAGAATTGGGGTTATTATGTGCATATATAATGGATAAACTTAATATGAAATTGAGTTCAGTTTTTGATAGCAGAAAACTTGTAAATTGCACGATATGGAAATAATGATTCCAAACTGCGTTTCCTTTGCCACGTGTCGGCCAGGAACCTTCCGCCCAAGATCCAGCTGCTTCGTCATCCTCTGATGCCTTGCGTGGCGGCGTGGGTGTGGATGGTGATGCAGCTGAAATTATTCCATCCGAAGATGATGCAGAAGCTGTTGAGTTGGAACACCCTGACCTGATGGCTGAATCTGATGCCCACCATAAGAAAGGAACTTTTAAGGACCCATTGAACCATTGTAATGTTATGTTGGCTTGTCACTTAAAAACACATTCCACAGATCTATCGACCATAATTGCTAGAATATACCACGACACATTTTTTTGGAACTGAAAACTAATTAGGTAAATTACAGATATTGAAATATTGAGCTGATTGCGTGTCAGGACGAAAAGCCTTGCCTGCCTTTGCCTGAGAAGCCCGACGCATCACTGGAAAGGATGGCTTCGAAAGCAGCACAGGACCTGGCAGTTTCTGTGGATGATGGCAAAGGCAATCATACATCTGTTCTGGAGGCCCGGTCATGAATGATGTACATGTGTCCACATGTGAATGTTCAACATAATATGTCATTTCTGCAAATTCAGCAGCAATGTTTGCGCTCATATATATAGATTATGCTGAGCAACATGGATGAGCATCTGAAGTATGAACTAATTAATCAACTGTTTGTTCATCTAATACTTTGGGTTAATGTATGAGTTATTATGAATTTATTCCCGAATCAACATGTTCATCCTTTGTTGTGAGGCCCAACGAAAGATGAGACAGTCATTGAGAGATGATGCGAATGAAGATGATGACGATGGTTTGAGAGCCAAGAAACGTCCAAAAGCGAAAGCTAAGGCAAAGGGTA